ACTTTTGTAAATCTATTTAATATCTTTATCTGCCATTTCCTACCGAAAAGTTAACAGTAAAATCGATCTTTCAAATAAGATCATCAATTAACCCATGTTGATCCCCATTTTCCATGCGCAAACTCAATAAACATAAATCTATATTTAACAAACGTTGACCAAATCAGCTGATCGATTATAAATGGATTATATGTTTTATTTGGATAAAAATGGACAGATTCTCGAGTCAACAGTGTTATTTGTCTTCTTTAATGAATAAAATAATATCTTTTTGGGAAAATCTAGGTCAGAATGGTTAAAACGTTAAATTTGATGCACAGCAAATCGCCATATTGTTTTTATTGCTTAACAGGTGTTTACAGGTGAGATTTGTGTACATGGCCTTTATGGCTTTAATCAAGACAATAACGACACCCAAGCCGAATTCAAACTTCCTGGACATTGATTACTATCCTCAAGTGGTGATAATTACTATGTAAACAAACCTAGTGGCTTGAACCCAGACTTGCCCCACGCTGTGACTCGACAGAGTCCTGTACATTGTTGTCACTTACATTATAGAATAAACAACAGACTAATGATAAATATTATTAAATCACTAACACAAATCAATAAAATTTTTATTTTGTCTCAAACAAATCTATTTTTCTTGATGACCTGAAAACAAAAATAAGTTCAAAATGGCGACCGATAAAACCCTGATCTCAATGAAATGACCGAAATTATTTCTGTAAAAAAAAAAAAAAGACCTAAATCCCAATAAATCATTTCGGTCTTTTCAGTTTCCAAATCGGTCATGTCTGGCATATATGACCGTTTCCGGACCCTTGATAGAAACCATATATTTTTGGAATCATTGCAAAGAAAGCCATCATATGAGACTAGAAGTGACATTTTCATAACCAGAAGTAGCAAATGATCTCTCATATTTAAGGCAAAAGTAAGTAGTAACCATTTATTTTTGGAATTAGTGCAAATAAATCTTATCATATGAGACTGGAAGATACATTTTCTAAACAGGAAGGAACAAATTATTTCCTTTATTTCAGACAAGTTAATAGAAACAATATATTTTTGGAATCAGTATGAAGAATCCTATGATTGGACCCAAATAGAAATTTTAAGTTAACCTGAAGTAGCTTCTTATCAATTATTTTGAAATTAAATATGAAAAGACCTTCAATTTGTTCTCCAAACAATTGGTTTTAATTAGATTCGTCTTCCTTTTGCCTTGGAGAAACACAACTTATAAAAGGACATAACAGAAGAACGGTAAAAGTGACATTACCCAAATTTGTACTTGATCTGAGTTTTGTGGTAATAGTATTGTGTATAAGTTTCATAACATTTGGTTGAGGCAAACTTAAGTTAGAGAACAGAAACGAAAAATTCAGCAATTTTTCCATTTGTAAAGGGGCATAACTCTAGAACAGTAACAGTGAAACCACCAAAAATCAAACTTGATCTGTGTTTTGTGGTAATAACCATTGGGTTTAAATTTCATAACATTTGGTTGAGGCTAACTGAAGTTATAGAACAGAAATGAAAAATTCAGCAATTTTTCCATTTGTAAACGGGCATAACTCAAGAACTGTTAAAGTGACTGCACCAAACTTGATCTGTATTTTGTAGTAATAAGCGTTGTGTATAAGTTTCATAACATTTGGTTGAGGCAAACTAAAGTAAGAGAACCGAAACCAACTTTGGGATGTACGGACAAGGGTAAAACTTAATGCCCCCTCTGCTACGGCGGGGGCATAATAACATAGGAGGGTATTTCTTTTTTAGCCGCGAAGTAATTCTATCCAGTTTCTTCCCATTCCACTGAAAGCTACATAAGATAAATGGACGGCTGTTTTTTTGTGTGTCTCTGTTACTTACATACCCACACCTGTCTTATTTTTTGAGAGACAAAAACATATATTGTTTGGACTCATAATGCTATTTAAATCAATACATATGTGAATACATTTAAAATGTCTAAAGAACTAAAATTAACTGCTGTGAATGGTTGTCTAAGCATAATAAAATATACAATGGCTGACTATATTTATATTCTGTATAGATATATGATTGTGCTGGGTAATTATTTAAAAAGCTAAATATACAGAGCGCTTTAAGTTTACCTCCTAAATTGAATATACTGACAGGTGTAAAATTTGGAAAATGAAAAATTATAACCAATTAGAAAAAAAATTAATTAAAAACAGAACTCACTAAATTTTGACAGTTTTTTAATATATGAATTTTATGACCTACTACTTCTAGGTACATTTAGTGCTACAAAATGGGAAATTTAATATCACACAAGTGACAAGTTTCATATTGGTTGATTTTGCATTATAGATAAAATTGCAATTTTATCATTTTGTGTAAATTTGATCTTTAAAGAAAAACAGAATTAGGTAGGAAAAAAAACAAGAAGAAAATAAAACATTGTCAAAAAAGCTTTGGCCCAGACATCGCAAAAGTAAACCACTATACATTAAATAAAAGCTTAATGGATTTTCATTAGAATTAAAACCTCATATAATGTAGGTCATCATGTGAACTTAACCCTTAAGATAAAAAAAAACATAAAAAAAGTGAAAAAATGCTATAATTGTAGTACATGTACAGTGAAAAAAACATCCACAATTCTTGATGACTATAACCATTGCATACATATGAATGCATCATTTAAACAAATTCCTTCAAATAATATAATTTGTGCCATAAGGATGTCCTCCCAGACAGACAGACAGGGTGATTTCCCGAAAAACTTTGAAGGGCCTATTAAATACGACGAATGTTATCATTGTAAAAAGTAGGTCACTGCAACCTAACTGTTAATGACTTTTGCTATCTATTTATAATTCTGGTTATATACATCAATGATATACATGTTACCATCATAAGTTTATAAGAAGTAGAACTTACTCCAAAATGTAACCAAATCAAGTTTTACACAAGAAACTAACAAGTAAAACGGTCTTTAAATTAGCCATGATCAGATGCTTTGATGGAGGGGCACTTCAGAGAATCACTTTTCCAAATAAATATCTTAAACACTTTTGAAAAATATTTTCTATTTTAAGGCACTAAAATGTTATTCATGACTTTAATCAGATTCTACATTCATGAATAGGGCATGCAAAACAAAACTTCACAACAAGAGCTTGCTGTAAAAGTATGAGTTGTACAAAGTTAATTTCGAAAGAAGAAAAAAAACACTTCAATTACCACAACCACTTTTTTTATTTTTAAAATGTTCATAATAGTTGTGGCTTGTATCAGGAAATGGCAAGATGGATCATCAATATCAAGTCAAAATAGCCCAACTATATTTTACAACAACCAACGAAAAATGATTTCACACAAAAATTTGCAAATCTCTATCAAATCGGAAAGTAGGTCATGCATGGTAACTCAAATTTTTACTACATGAGAGGAATGAAAAAGTAAAATATCACCAATTTTCTTTATGTCAAACTTTGTCCAAATTAGACAGATATATTTATTTGACACATAGACATATGTTGGGACATAAACAAGAATGTAATCCAAAAGATCCAAAACTTCATAAAAGAGGGTACAAAATGGGAACTTTTACAACAAACATGCTTCAAATGTATTTCATTGTAAACGGTATCACAGTGAAGGTCCCTTATTTTGTAATAACATCACTTTTGAAAACAAAAACTGGATCTGCCCAAAAAATGCAGAATTTGCCATATTTGACTTTGAGCTTAAGTTGTATGAATTGTTATAGTTTTCTTCAAAGTTGAGAAATTTGAATACATCTTTTTGCAGTGAGTTGTGTGTGCTATTCTATTTTTATTGCTTGGGGGATATTTGTAAGTCATAATTATCGTTACATTTAATACATTCTAGTTTTTAGGTGTGGAATATAAAAATTTGCATAACGTCATTGTTAGAATTCACATATCTTGAAAATTCTTTAAATTATTGGATGTTAAAACATGCCTTCACATACAAGTGCATTTATTAAAATAGTATTTGCACCAATGCATTTTTCAGTATGAAATTTGCATCATCCAACATACAAAATGAACAATGATCAAATACCTTCATATACCAAACAGTTTAGTAGATATTGAAGAACGAAAGGAGGAAAAATATATTTTGCCATTAAAAAGGAATATTTCTTTTGTGTGTTATTTCATTGACAAAGCAGGGAGAGATGAAACAATGTATTTCTATTTTGGACTACATTTATAGACCTTTAACTAAAATTCCCCCAATATTACAATGTGGAAATCTCCACTAATTTGGCAATAAGGAGACAATAACAATTAGTATTCCAAGCTTAAGTTTGATCTGTTAAGAAAATCAGAATCAGAGAAAAGAATAACTTGAAAATAAAACTTCAGGAACAAGTTGGGACCTAGAAATCCACAATTTAAATTCAACAAAAATTACAGTATATACCTTTAAAATTGTAGTAGAATATGGATTTACTTTTACAGGATAGCTTAATATCATCCTATACCTTAGGGCTATTCCATTAAAATGTATGTGGGAGGGTAGGAAGGGAAGTTTAATTATTGAATGTGGGTCATGGGTCTTTTTTCAGTATGCGTCTATAACCATTATGCAAAATTATCTAAAAAATGGTTCTTGGTTGTAGTGATATTTTGAAAGTCCCTTCCTACCCTCCCACATACATTTTAATGGAATAGCCCTTATTAAGAGCAAGTCTACAAGTACATACCCTTAGTAAAAGCAAGTATACAAGTACATGTATAATTCCCAGTACATACAGAATTACACATGAATATGAGATCTTTTAATGCATGATTTGTTTGTGAGTTGAAAGCATTCTGATCATAGAGAGGGGAATGATGGCGTTAATTAACCTTACATGACAAAAAGCTACAATGTTCTTTTGTCATCTTATTTAAATTGCTGAGGCAGAGAGCTAGATTATATATTACAATAAATAATGATATGAAGAAGATATCTCTAAAAGCTGCACAATCAATAAATGTTGTACTCACTTGCTTTGCTGATCAAGTCCTTTTCTAAAATATCAGTTTATTATCAATGATATTTAATTCTGATGCAATATAATATGTTACATTATATTTGATTGGATGATGTCTGCCGTCAATTCCAGCATTGACAGTCAGAGTAATTTGCAATAATTGCAGTTCAAGTTTCGAGCATTATTCAAATGTTTTTTCCCCTAACATTTTACCAGTATTTCAACAGAATAGTTTTAACAGTATTGTATTTGAAGAGTTGTTGTCATCAATTGGGGATTTGACTGTGGCAACTTTTAAAATTTCAGTACTGTTATTCTTTAATAATCGCTCCAGAGTTCTAGACAAATAATTCATCAAGATTGCATAGTAACAAAACATCAAATGTTTTAGCCATACATTAATTTACAGTGTGGACTATTTTTGCAGTTTTTTTATTAATTAATATCTAATATTTTTATTGTTAAAATCTGAAGAAAGAACATAAAACTCACTAAGGGAGGCTTTAAAAAAACATAGGTCAAAGAAAAAATAAACAACACCATCACCAAACAGAATAAAATGCTTCGCTGGGCGCAGCTTGATACGACCGCAGAGGTCGAACCCTGAACAGTTGGGGCAAGTATGGACACAACATTCAAGCTTGATACAGCTCTGAATTTGGATTGTGATTAAATATTTGACACAGCATAGGTTTCTGACACAGAAAGAATGTGGTCTAAGAACTTCAATTTTTTTAATTTACCTATTATGGTCCAATGTCCAAAATCAAAATACATGGTTAGATTCAGCATATCAAAGAACCCCATATATTCAAAGTTTAATTTTGGACCCCAACTTGGACAAACTTGAAAACTGGTCCCATAATCAAAAATCTAAACACATGTTTAGATTCAGCATATCAAAGTACCCGAAGAATTCAATTTTTGTTAAAATCAAACTAAGTTTAATTTTGGACCCTTTGGACCTTAATGTAGACAAATTTAAAAAACGGGACCCAAAATTAAAAATCTAAAAACACGGTTAGATTTGGCATATCAAAGAACCCCAATAATTAAATTTTTGATGAAATCAAACAAAGTTTAATTTTGGACCCTTTTGACCTCAATATGAACCAATTTGATAGCGGGCCCACAAATAAAAAATCTAAATACATGGTAAGATTCAGCATATCAAAGAACCCCATATATTCAATTTTTGTTGAAATCAAACAAAGTTTAATTTTGGACCCCAATTTGGACCAACTTGAAAACTGGGCCAAAAATCTAAAATCTAAATACATGTTTTGATTCAGCATATCAAAGAACCCCATATATTCATATTTTGTTGAAATCAAACAAAGTTTAATTTTGGACCCCAACTTGGACCAACTTGAAAACTGGTCCCATAATCAAAAATCTAAACACATGTTTAGATTCAGCATATCAAAGAACCCCAAAAATTCAATTTTTGTTAAAATCAAACTAAGTTTAATTTTGGACCCTTTGGACCTTAATGTAGACCAATTTAAAAAACAGGACCCAAAATTAAAAATCTAAATACACGGTTAGATTTGGCATATCAAAGAACCCCAATAATTCAATTTTTGATGAAATCAAACAAAGTTTAATTTTGGACCCTTTTGACCTCAATATGAACCAATTTGATAGCAGGCCCACAAATAAAAAATCTAAATACATGGTCAGATTCAGCATATCAAAGAACCCCATATATTCAATTTTTGTTGAAATCAAACAAAGTTTAATTTTGGACCCCAATTTGGACCAACTTGAAAACTGGGCCAAAAATCTAAAATCTAAATACATGTTTAGATTCAGCATATCAAAGAACCCCATATATTCAATTTTTGTTGAAATCAAACAAATTTAATTTTGGACCCAACTTGGACCAACTTGAAAACTGGGCCCATAATCAAAAATCTAAACACATGTTTAGATTCAGCATATCAAAGAACCACAAGAATTCAATTTTTGTTAAAATCAAACTAAGTTTAATTTTGGACCCTTTGGACCTTAATGTAGACCAATTTAAAAAACGGGACCCAAAATTAAAAATCTAAATACACGGTTAGATTCGGCATATCAAAGAACCCCAATAATTCAATTTTTGATGAAATCAAACAAAGTTAAATTTTGGACCCTTTGGACCTCAATGTGGACCAATTTAAAAACGGGGCCCAAAATCCAAAAACTTAATACACGGTTAGATTCAGCATATTAAAGAACCCCAAGAATTCAAGAATAAAACCCCATTGAAATTGATCAAGAAATAAGCAATTTATACAAAGTATCTTCTTTTGCACAATACTGTGCAATTGAATATTTCTTGCTATTGCGCAATACTGTACAATTGACAATTTCTTGCTATTGCGCAATATTGTGCTATTGGATATTTCTTGCTATTGCGCAATACTGTGCAATTGAAGATTTCTTGCTATTGCGCAATACTGTGCAATTGAAGATTTCTTGCTATTGTGCAATACTGTGCAATTGAAAATTTCTTGCTATTGCACAATACTTATTATATAATAATTTACACATCCTGTTTGGTGTGTATCTCCTACCATATCATTATTATTTGCTTTTCAATATAAATCAGAAATAACCAACTTAAAATGGAAAATTTTAAAAGAAAAAAAAAGGAAAAAAAGAAAAAAAAAAAAAAAAAAAATCCCCCCCCCCAAATTTTTTGAACCCCCTTATGATTCATCACCCCCAAATTCAATCCCAGCCTTCCCTTTGTGGTATGGTACCTTGCAGTACAATTTCAGAGAGATCCATACACTTGAACACAAGTTATTGTCTGGAAACTAGAAAAATGCTTATTTTTGGCCCCTTTTTGGCCCCCAATTCCTAAACGTTTCGGGCAATTACCCCCAAACTCAATTCCAGCCTTCCCTTTGTGATATGGAACCTTGTAGTACAATTTCAGAAATATCCAAACACTTACACACAAGTTATTGTCATGAAACTAGAAAAATGCTTGTTTTTTGCCCCTTTTTTGGCCCCTAATTCCTAAAATTTTGAGGCAATTACCCCCAAAATCAATTACAGCCTTCCCTTTGTGATATGGAACCTTGTGGTACAATGTCAGAGAGATCCATACACTAACACACAAGTTATTGTCTGAAAGTTACAAAAATGCTTATTTTTGGCCCCTTTTTGGCCCCTAATTCCTTAACTGTTGGTACCATAACCCCCAAAATCAATCCCAACCTTCCTTTCGTGGTATTGAACCTTATGGTGAAATTTCATGGAGATCCATTCACTTAAACTAAAGTTAGAGTGCGAAAACCAATGTGTCTTCGGACGACGCTGGACGACGCCGGACGACGACGACAACGACGACGACGACAACGACGACGACGCCAACGTCATACCAATATACGACCAAAAAATTTTCAATTTTTGCGGTCGTATAAAAACGATGAAAAGACAAACAACAGTCCATACAACACTACATAGAAAACAACAGATTGAGCAACACAAACCCCACAAAAAAAAATTGAGGAATAATCAGGCTCTCTAAATTTGACATTTGTTGGAGGAAAGAGTGGAATACTGACATATCAAATATAAGACCTGGATCTTAATTTTGTTATATGTTCATTAGTGACTTATAAAAACCTAATTTGATAATGTTACTTTTGTAAGTGATACCTTGTTTAGGTCATTAGTGATACCTACCGGAACTTTATTTTTTATGTTTAGGTCATTAGTGATATACTTTCTGGAACTTAATTTTTGTTTATGCTACATTCGTTAGTGCCACCTACCGGAACTTAATTTTTTCTGATGATTCACTGGCTGTCAAGTTTTTCCAGATTCCTGTTTTTGACATTTCTTCTGAAATGTTGACCTCATTAGGTCCAAACATGACCTCTGTTGGTATATTCTCCAGATTGCCACTCATTATTGGTATTTGTGTATGCCCTGATGAATCTTGGTTGTCCATAAATTTGGTCGCAGCCTCTGATAGTTCTTCCGCTTCCTTTTCCTGGAAAATGCAAAATTACAGTGAAACCTGTTTTAAGGATGTTCGCTCTTGTTTTTGAATTTTTGTCAGCTATTCATAATCCTCTGGTTTTTTCCATGCAATGCCAATAAAAAATTTTGCTTGCTAACCTTTACTTTTCTTTTCATAATTTTATCTACTTAAGAAAACAGAAGGATTAATGCTAATTTTCTATAAATCAATATGTTTGTGAGAATTTTTCAATCATTGGTAAAGAATAAAAGAACAGAGTTCCAATGTCCCCCGCGTTGCACATATTTTATCTATCCAAGGGCAATAACTTAAAAAAAAACTTTTTCTTTGTTCTTTAAAACAATTCATAAATATCTTAAAGAAATGAAGGCTTCAGAGCAAATGCAATGCGATTTCCATTATAATTAACTTTTCCAAGGGGCATAACTAGTCTAAAATATTTGATCAGCACTTATTTTTGAAAGTGTCAAAGACATTGCTGATATAAACCTATGATATAAGTTTCATAAAAATCTTGCAAGAATTGTACACATGAGAGCGCTGACAATGCAATTTTCGATATAATCAATATTTGCAAGACGCACAGACGGACGGACGGCGTTGCACGGGGGACAATAAATTAGGAGCAAAATAAAGATTCCTGTAACATTTGATTCAATGCAGAACTAAAATAAATGAACTCCTCAGGGCTAAAATGAATGTTGAGGGTAGAAAGGACCCCACAATCATAAATGAACCACAACCCATGTCCAAAAATAAAATGACCCCTTTCAACATTCAACATTCCTTTTAATGATCAATCTCAAACCATAAATGTCTGTTAGAGAAAAGCATTATGGTGTACTTCTTCTTCAGTTCTTTTTAAAGCCATGTCAAAATGTTACCTTTAGGCTGTTATAAAAAAAAATCCTAGATTCTCATCAATCTTTTTTTTTTAAATCAGCACAAAATTATTTTTATTATGCTGAAATGACAATGATGTAATTTTGAGTGAACTTACGTCAAAGGTAATTCTTTAGGTCAATCAATCAACCAACATAGAAATGCTGTTTCTTAATTACCCCTTTTTGAAATATTTCCCCTAATTTTCATTCATTCACTTAAAACCATTATACCTCTTCTTCTTTTTTCTTCAATTCATCTTCCTGGTCTCGGTGATGAGCCTCAGGCAAATTGTCATCTAACCATTCTAATTCATCTCTTGTAAATATCCAGTCCATCCCCTTGCGTACAAAACACATGGCTAACACCTAAAATAACATTAACATCCAACAATCAATTACTTCCCTTTAAATTTACCAATTTCAGATTAAGAAAAAATGCAAAATTCAAAATTCAATTCAAAAATTATTTATTGATTATATTATGGCAGCCAATTTTTATTGGTGGAGGAAGCCAGAGTAGGAGGAGAGAGTCACCAACCTTTGACAGGAAAACTGTCAATCATCTGTCAACACTGAGGTAGTGAGTATGAACCCCTCCCCTTTCAAAGTGTGTACCACTCGGATTCTAATTCACTATAATTGCCAGTTTTCCTGCTGAAGGACAAAAGTTCTCTCGGGGAACTCTATCTTACTCAACCAACAAAACTGGACGCCATAATAAAGCCAAGAGTACTGAATTTAGTGAAAGTGGCATTAGACAACAATCTTTAAGAATTGGAAATTGTGTTAAAATTCATTCATAGACCGTTGTCAATGGTTAACATATTTCATTTTATTCTGATTTATAAAATGTATAGGAATATATGATGAAATTGAAGGTTTAAGTGGATTTTTTTGTTATCTAATACTGTAAACCAACTTATTTTCGTGAACACTTTATTTCGCTTTTAGCCCTTTATAGACAGACCACTAAGCGGCAATTTGAATTCGTGATTTTCAAATTTAATTAAATATATTTAATTAAGAGAAGATCCAAGTTTAAGATATTTAAATTCACGTTATTTTTTTACTCACCCAAGTCGCCAAAATAAATGACATGTGAAAATTAGTTGGTTTCCAGTAACTCACAGGTTTAACATCATATTAAGAAATAAGAAATATATAAAATCTGAGACTCAAAATTCTGTTGTAAAATTCAGCACCACTGCCGATTCTGAGATTTCCTTAAATGGCTTTATTTACATCATCATCATTGGAAGTCTCTAATGTACGAGTTCTCTCCCCTTTTTTGGTTCCTATAGCATTTACAGTTTCTGTCTATGCTAACTTACCATGAGAGGAAATATGATGGAAATCTCTTTGATTGTTTTGACCACCCATAATAATGCTAAGCACATAATCTGTATGAAGGTAAAAAGGTGAACTCTTTTGATCCTAACATATCGCAGAAACATGTAGTCAGGCTGGTATTTCTGTGGCATAAACATTATCATCACCCGATGACACAGCTGCATACCTTTCAAGGAGGACACACCCATGTATAGAAATACTCCATATAATACAGGCATAGGTATAATCTGAAATCAAACGTACAATTGTATATTGGTGGCTCCAATAAAAAAAAGATTAGTAAACATAGATAATATACAACAATAATTTGTGTTGGATATATTTTGATTATTGTAACCACTATCCAGTCCTCTTTTGCTTGAATGTGACATACAGAATTAAACTTATCGACAGGTTTGTACTCACATCAGCAACCAAACAGGTGCCACACGTGGAGCAGCATTTGCTTACCCTTCCAGAGCACCTTAATTCACCCCCAGATCTTGATGGGGTTTGTGTTACTTAGGCTTTAGTTTTCTATGTTGCGTTTTGTGTACTGTTGTTTGCCATGGATGGTATTGTCAGTTTGTTTGTGACTTATGAGTTTGAATATCCTTTTGTTATCTTTCTTTTCTTTTCAGAATACCTTTGTTTTATTGTAAACGATACACATCTTCGAATATATGAAGGCAGAAATTTCATTGTTTGGCGTAAATATTACAGAAAGTAATAAAATGCTTCGCTGAGCGCAGCTGGATACGACCACAGAGGTCCAACCCTGAACAGTTGGGGCAAAAATGGACTCAATATTCGCACTTGATACATGTCTGAATTTGGATTGTAATTAAATATTTGACACATAATAGGTTTCTGACACCAAATAACTGTAGTCAAAGAACTTAGAATTGGTTATATGATTTGAATTTATATTCAATTTTTTGCTTTTGTGCAATACACTATGCTGTTACGAATTGAACACCCCCCCACCAAAAAAATAAAATCAAAGAGCTGAAAGCTCTGAGGAAAAATGACGCCATTGTCTGTAATATTGGGATATTTTTGATGCAAGTCTTGATTTTCAAATAATTTACCTACTGAAACTTAAAGAGACTTTTCAGTTCATGGTAGGTAGGCTGACTGACAATAGAAAAGAAATGAACTGTTTTCAATGTCTATGACTTTTTTAATTGTTTGTCAAGATATATATATATATATATATATATATATATATGTGTGTGTGAAGTGAATATAAAAAAGAAGATGTGGTATGATTGCCAATGAGACAACTCTCCACAAGAGACCAAATGACACAGAAATTAACAACTAAAGGTCACTGTACGGCCTTCAACAATGAGCAAAGCCCATACCGCATAGTCAGCTATAAAAGGCCCCGAAATGACAAATGTAAAACAATTCAAACAAGAAAACTAACGGCCTAATTTACGTACAAAAAAATGAATGTAAAACAAATATGCAACACATCGTCAAACGACAATCACTGAATTACAGGCTCCTGACTTGGGACAGGCACATACGTACAGAATGTGGCGGGGTAAAACATGTTAGCGGGATCCCAATCCTCCCCCTAACCTGGGACAGTGGTGTAACATGACTATATTTATATACTGGTTGTTTCTTTTGTATAAAGAAATGGCTCAAGACTACCTGAACGATCTACAATATTCAAAGTTATATGTAAATTTGTTTCTTGCAATTTCATTATTCTTCGTCAAGGATACATTAACAGACTATCCTCTTCTTTGTAGAATTATTTAACAAAATGATGACAAAGAGCCTGCAGTAAGCAAGCTCTGATACCCCACATAGTCCTTATTTAAGAGGTAAGTTATAAGTGACTTGGTGACATTGTTATTTCTGTTACTTAAAGGATGATCAAATTCTGTAGATTTAGACAGTAGTATTGTTATACTAGTTTGACAATTACAAATATAGTGACACCATTTATACAACCAAATTTCATTGTTGATACATTTGTATTTATATATATATATACTGAAATCTTTAAATGACAACATAAATCATTGCAGAGTTATCTTCTTTCAAATGATTTAATGTTTGTGAGTCATTTATTTCAAATAATTAACCCATACTAAAATAAGAAGATGTGGTTACATGATTGCCAATGAGGTAACAGTCTGATAACTATCCATCAGAGTCTAAATAATGTGGTTGTTGGCAGTTATGATCAGTCATAAGTCACTTTACATCATTATAGCCTCATTTTTTTGTTAATGACCTAGCTAGACCTTTTTTTTAGGCAAGGTGTATTATATAACTCTGAAAGCAATACAATCCAGTGTTCTCCCGAGGATTTTTTAAATCGCTGTGGTATTAGCGCCCGATTTAAGATTGATTCACCTTAAGTTTCATGTTTGTGACTTGGTGTTACATTTATTTATAACTACCATGTTAGTTTTATAATATTGATTAGACAAAGACCTGGATTTTTTATACATGTGCCATGTGCATTAACTGAAATGCAAATAAGTGACATTTCAATTATTAATTAAACTTTAAAAATTAAATTGCCTAGATAACTTAAATAATTTGACTTTATTACCACCCGTCCCCAAATGTAGCACAGTAGGTATATCTTTTTTTCCCACTTTCGGTTGTTTGACTTATAAACTAGTTATATATCCTTTACAGCTTCATAGTCTACTTACACATATTTAAGAAGGTTTACAATGACAAAATTGGAATTTCTGCATTAATTTTTATTTAAATTTATCAAATTTGAATTTTGCAATTAAAATTGGTATATCCTTTAATATCAAAGAAATAAAAATGGAATAACTCTTTCCTTAAGTACTGAAATGTTATTAAAGGCATGTTTAAAATATGCTAACATATTTGATCATATTCCAAGATGAATATGATAGAAATCTTTTATTTATAGACGTTTTTTTTTATTATTAAAGGTGGATTATCAGTAAAAAAATGTTTGCCAATTGAAACATTACAACCACTTTAAAAAGTTGTGTTTGGTTATTTTATGAATATGTGAATTATTGCCACCAGAAATATTTTACAAGATTTGACAATACTTGTGTTAGCACATTAAATTTTGCCCTTTGAAATTGTCTCCCTTCACAACTTCCTGTTTACACACTTTTTTGTTGTATCTCTAGGAATTATTAAATGCCATTCCTTATCCAAGTCATCCACAGTTAACATTGATTTTAAATTAATATTTAATTTATTGAAAAGTGGATGGCTAATCTCAATATTTTTTTTTTTTATTTTCAAGAAATTTTCGTATCCAATTTTGAAAATAGTGAGCAAGTAAATTGTAAAATACGGGCTTGTAATGAACACCTGGACAACGGGAATGCTTTTCTCAAAACAATACAGGTTCAAAGAATGCTTTTCTCAAAACAATACAGGTTCAAAGAATGCTTTTCTCAAAACAATACAGGTTCAAAGAATGCTTTTCTCAAAACAATACAGGTTCAATAGTTTAGTTGTTAACTCGAAAAAGTAATGAAATAATCGTAATGTTTCAAAAATGGACGAGACCTCGTTGTCAGAGAAAGGGTAAAACTTCCCTTAAATACTTTTGGTATGATTCATTGAGCACTGCCTTATCCATTCATAAAGATCCTGCATCTTATAATTCTTTTTAAAGTGAAGAAATCCAGAAAGAAATAAAGTCTTTTAGACAGAAAATTTCTACAATTATCGTCATTTTATTCTTTAATAGAACATATTTGACCAATATTATGCCTGTAGCAGTAACTTTGTAAACAAATCCATACGCACCCCGTGGATATAACCTTATCATGCTTAAAAAACTTATTAAATCTTAATAAAGACCAATATCTTTCGTATGATTTCAAGATGATTCCGATTATTATTTTTTAAGTTCAGCTGACAAGAAAGGTAAACATTCTTTCAAGAACTATTTTCTAGCGATAGCGATTTGTTATCATTGGTATGTAAAAAGTCCAAAACCATAACAATACGGATCTATTTATATTCTGATTTTTTTATGGATTGTAAAGTCATGCACATAAAAGCGAAAGTTCATATAAATATGAAGAAATACCAAAGGGATAGCTCAAAATACCATTTTATAACAATAAACATATGGATAGGTTAAGAATGAAATTCTGTACAGGACATAGGTATGTAAAATACAGAACCGAGTTCGGAAGGCGGCCTGGAAGCGACCGGAAGCAATAAAATGAAATCTGGTCAATGGTATAGTAAAATTGACGCTTTGACAGCGTCATTTTCCAAAAATTACCCCCCCCCTTTTTTTTTGCTTTTGTGAAATACACTATGCTGGTGTGTATTGACCCCCCACCCAAAAAAAAATGGTTTAACCCCCCCCCCCCCCCTTTTTTTTTTGCCAAAAAATATAATATTTGAAGAAATTTTCTTTTTAATTTCTGAAATCTGAAATGAAAAAAAAAAATTGCCCCTCACAATTTCTTTTTTACCCCCCACTTTTCCAAAAAAAAAAAAATTCTTTCCCTCAAGATATGGTCATAATCTCAATTCTAATTTCCAATGGAGTTTGCAACCATAATTACCAATTTAAATACATCATAAAAGTCTTAAAATAGAAAATGACATACATAATCATTGCTAGAATTAATATTCCTTTAATAGTAACTTCTAAGAATAAATTGGCAATACAAAATTTCTTTATACATAATTTAAAAGCAGTGTAAGGGAGGTAATGAAAACATACACAACATTGTACTTTAAATGAGTTTGGATTACCTCCGTTACACTTCTTTTAAATTGTCCATTAACCAGGAAACCTTTGTTTTTCCACCTTTTTTGCCCCTAATTCCTAAACGGTTTGAGCCATAACCCCCCAAAGCAAATCCTAACCATCCCTTTGTGGTATGGAAACTTGTGGTATAATTTCAGAGATATTCATACACCGTTCCACAAACTGGAAACTAGAAAAATGCTTATTTGGGCCCTCTTTTAGCCCCTAATTCCTAACCTGTTAGGACCATAACCCCCAAAATCAATCCCAACCTTTCTTTTGTGGTTATAAACCTTGTGTTTAAATTTCATAGATTTCTATTTACTTATACTAAAGTTATTGTCTGGAAACCAAATGTCTTCGGTTGACGACATGATACCAATATACGACAGCAAAAATTTTTATTGTATAAAAATGGGGTCAGATCCTTGTAAGCAAAAGTGTGGACTTAGGATCTGTACTTTAATTCCGATTAAATAAATACTTTACCCTTAAAAATTTCGTCATTAAAACAGAGAGTCCAATGAAGAGGAAGATGGATACACCAGTCACACGCTGCTCCCTGAAAGAAAAAGCCGTCAAAAACTTAATATATACTGTAACTTATGAGTAAGGGATTTTATGAAGTTATTATTTGAATTTAAATGTAATGGAGAAATAGTATATTGAAGTAATTAATTTTAATTATTTTCCCTGTAACCATATTTCACATTTGATAAATATTTATGCTATGACTCTCTTATGATACTATGTAAAGCAATATTAATCCTGGTTCAAAAAAATATTGTAGGCACAGCATAAAAGGGATGTATGAGAGAAAATTAATGTCAGCTAATGATAATGATAAAAAGTTAAAATTTGACCAAAGACTATGAATATTTAAAAAACTTCTATAATTTAGTTGTTCTTAAGCTCACTGTTGCTTCAATAAAGCTCATATATATTTATCAGTTTCTGAAGAATATAAATGAATCAACCCAACCGTAGTTACAAAAAAAGCACCCACATCAAAGGAATTTAGTCTGCTCTCTGGGAGGTATGCAAAAATCTCACCACCATCCAAGGCATTAAGGTTGCTGTGCGAGAGTTGTGTTTAGTAACTATAATTTCAACTACATCCAAGGAATTTGCAACCAAGGAACTCTTGCTGTTCTCTGGAAACTACAAAAATCTCACCTCGATCCAAGGAACTAAGGTTGCTCTGGGAGCTGTCAAAAATCTCACCTGCTGTCCTAGAGCTGTGTTTTGTAACTTAATTTCACCTGCATCCAATGAAATATGGCAGCTCTCTGGGAGCTGTACAAAAATCTCACCTGCATCCAAGGAACTTAGGTTGCTCCCCGGGAGCTGTACATTCTGACTCTTTCTTCAAACTCATGACGTGAGTTATGGACAAAACAGTTGCAGCCACAAACCATGGTAATCCAAGGAAGGAATTTATTAAGATAAGAGTAGCCACAATCAACAGATCTAAATGGTAGCCATTTCCTTTCTACAAAACAAATTTAAAGTTTACTTTTGAAAGAGAAAATTTTTAACAGCTAACAAAACCAATCTTTCATGAGCAGCAACCTTAAATTTCAAACATTTCCTTGTTGATCAAAAAAATCTAAAAAAAATTATACCTTAAAATGTCACCGGTAAATCATTTTACAGAAGCATTTTTATGCACCTATCCTAAGTCAGGAGCCTGTTGTTCAGTGGTTGTTGTTTTTTGATGTGGTTCATAAGTGTTTCTCGTTTCTTGTTTTTTAAATAGATTAGACTGTTGGTTTTCCTGTTTGAATTGTTTTACACTAGTCTTTTTGGGGCCCTTTATAGCTTGCTGTTCGGTGTGAGTCAAGGATCAATGTTGAAGGCCCTACTTTGACCTGTAATTGTTCACTTTTTACACATTATGACTTGGATGGATAGTTGTCTCATTGGCACTCATACCACATCTTCTTATTTATATTGTGCTTTTTTTTTATTTAGTAATTGCAATTAGAACTTATTAGAAGCACAAAGCTTCTGATTGCAAACTTGGTACCAGTTTAATGCTATTAAAGTCGATAAATATTCAATATTCAATATTCAAGTTGGCAACATTAAAGAGAGAGTACAATTTTTTTCTCCCTCCTGATTTTCTGTTTATACATAAATCTAATTTTCATGGAAAGCAAAACACAGTAAAGTTCAGATATTTTCTGCATTATCTTCAGAATGACAGGTTTGTAAAGCATTTTATTACATTGGTAGCAATGAATTACATTGATTTCCCAGTCAAATAAAAACCGATAATTTCATATGTGAAATAAACGTGGTTATTTCACTCTCTGACGTCATACAACAATAAGCGTTGTGAAGACGTCGATAACGTCGGATCAAAACAAATTGTGAATGCGTAGAAAAAAGATATAGTTCCTTACATTTTCTACATTAATTTCATTTAAAAAAAGCCATTTGCCAATGTAATAAAAAGAATAACTAATCAAAGAATTCAAATATCGAAAAATATTCAACTCGTGACCGAACAACACTGATAATTAACTCATGCGCTACGCGCATTCGTGAATTAATGTGTTGTTCGGTCACTCGTTGAATATTTTTCTCTATTTGAATTCTTCGATTAGTTATTCTATAAATATTCCGACTCAAGCTGCGTTTAGTCATTTAGAACAAAATTTCCAAATACAAGGCTTTTATCCTGACTAACTAATGTTGAATGGTAACAACTTTTATGACATTCCGATGGATAATGGAAAACCTGATGCCTTTGCCTTAAAGCTCTGGTCTCTTGTGGAGAGATGTCTTCTTGGCAATCATACCATAATATCCTCTTATTTTTATATCGCTGAAATTTCTGAATTTACAATTAACACACTTACTAGTAACTTATTTTCTTTTCTATTAACAATGACCGCTGTAATTTGCTGATCCATAAAAATCAGAATGGTTGCCAAAAGTGCTGGGAGAATGGCTAATGGATATGTATAAATAGGATTCTTCCCAAACGGGTTTATCACCCAACTTCGATCAGGATTAGTTGGCTGAAAGAAAAAATATAGCATACAATATAAGGTTTACAAGTATAAAACTTTTTTTTATTTAATTTGTAAACATTTTGACAACCAATGCCATAAGCATTAAAACAAGTTCACAAGTTCTGAAAAGACAGACATTTTGGATGAAATAGATTGAAACCCTAAATGGACAAGTTCCAAAATTTCTATTTGCTTACCTACGCTGTATTTGGCAAATTCTTTTAGAAATTTGGGTTCTCAATGTTCTCCAACTTCATACTTTATTTGGCCTTTTTGAATTTTTTATTTGAGCAGACGAAATGTGCGTTTGTCCTACGCAATTTTAATCCGGGAGTCTATGATGAGTTCCATTACAACCACTGGGACGATGCCACTGTTGGTGGAGGTTTTTCCCAGAGGGTATCACCAGCCCTGTAGTCGGCACTTCTGTGTTTACATGATTCATCATTGATAACAGTAATAATTATAAATCAACTGCTTACAATACTTTAAATTTTTTTCGAAATACTAAGGATTTTCAATCGAGGGAATAGATTACCGTAGCCGTGGCAAAACCTTTCAGAAATTTGAGTCCTCAATGCTTTTCAACTTCGTACTTTATTTGGCCTTTTTATTTTTTATTGGAGCGTTGATGATGAGTTTGGCGTACAAATTTTTAATCCTGGTATTTATGATAGTTTTTTCCTTACATTTTCGGTTTATATGTTTTTTAATTAGTTTGTTTGTAAGCTTTGAATAACCTTCTTTATAATATTGTTTCTTTTAGTTTTTATTTTATTGTTTGCAGAGCCTGTTTCTTGATTAATAATATATTTTCACCTTTTTTGTTAAGACACATTTTGATTTGAGTTTCACATATGGTATGTTCACATGGTTGTTGTTGGAATCTGAATATTTAAATGAGGTTTTTTTTGTAAATTTGTTCTGTTCAGATGCTATTCCTTCAACATATACCCCCATCTATTGACTTTAAAATTAGAGTTGAAGCAGTTCATGTACCGAAAATGTAGTGGTATTTAAGGCTAAGGGTGAAATAGTAATAAAAACAAGTGAAACTGCGAGCTACTGCTCACTGATGATACCCCCGCCCAAATATTTCGGTAAACAGGAAGTTGTTGAGAACATTTTCAACTTGGCTATCATGTGTAAAATGATACAAGTGTTTGGTAAACAGGAAGTTGTTGAGTGATGAATCTGAAAACGCATCACACGGTAGAGCTGACTTATATAAACCCTGAAACCAAATTTCAGAAATCCTTGTATTGCAGTTCCTGTGAAAGATGCGACGAAAAATATTCATGGGACGGAAAAACGGACTGAAGGATGGACTGACGGATGGACAGACAGAGGTAAAACAGTATAGCCCCACTTTTTTAAAGCGGGGGTATAATAATAAGTTATTTGATATTACTCAACAAAGCGTGACAAAATCTAAGTTGACTCAACAAATTGAAAAATTCAAATGGTGGCAAACAGGAAACTGGTGTCATACAGATCCTAAAAGTTCTCAACCCTTAATACAACATGTACAACTCATGATTACTGTTAAAGTGATGAGAAATTATAAATAATTCTTTTCAGAGGTACCTGAAAAAAGTATAATGGAAACATTTGTGGTAGAACGAACAGATGGATAGAAGAACAGATAGACGAACAAGGTGAATGCAATATAAGGGTACAATATTCTATTGAACTGTATAGAGAATTTGACAAAACCGCAAAATAAGTATCCACAAAAATACAATTCTACCTCATACCACATAAATAGATTTCAATGAAAATAAATGAATTCACAGTTTTTGTTTTGTCTTTCTTACCTGAAAATCATCTGGCACTTCCAGTTTTGGTGTATCAATTTCCAAGAGGAAATCCAACAATACCATTGACACAATAGCTATAATTACTGCAAAATCACTTATCAGCAATCTCACCTGTAAGTAAATATAAATAATCTAATTTCTCTTATTCTTAGCTCATTTATCCTTGTCCTGACCACGGTCCTGACCTGTTGGTTATTTTTATTTTATCAATGTGTGGTTTGTTAGATCTCAGTTCTTCATTGGTCAAAATTCAATTATAATGTTAAATTTTCTTGCTTTCCACAGAATTTCCTATTGTGACTTCACGATAAAAGGCATCCATGCCTGATGATGTCACATAGAAAGAACACATCTTTTTGCAGATCACTGATTAAGTTTGTCTGCATATCTCTAAAAAAAAATTTTACAATCATGACAGTAAAATGTTTGCTTTTAAAACAAATTATAGAAAAGTCTTCAAGCTCTAACTCAAAATAGAGAAAATTTTATGTTAAGGGGTTATATAATTGAATTCAGTTTGAAAGCTTCAGACATACTAATTTATACCTTTTTCACCTGAACCAAATCACTACTTTACCTAATCATTCATTACTCAAATTTTGTTTATATGTAATTGCATTTATATCATATATTCTTACTATTTTATGCATAAAATTTGGAAGGTGTATGAAAACAATTTACTAGTTATACACAGTCCACACCAGAAAATCAAAGGGCTATAATTGTATCACCAGAAAATATGATTGAGAATTAAGGTAGGTTTTTACAGTTTTTTTAAAATTTGGTTCATTTATATGTTTTGGAGTTAAGTGTGATGTCCATTTTCGCTGAACTAGTATACATTATTATTTATGGGCCAGCTGAAGCCCACCTCAGGGTGCCGGATTTTCTTGCTGTTTTGAAGACCCATTGGTGGCCTTTGGATGTTTTCTGCTCTTTGGTCAGGTTGTTGTCTCTTTGACCATTCCCTGTTTCCATTCTCAATTTTATATGCATGCATTCGTTTCAAACATACAAAAAATTGCTGACTATAGCATTAGATTGGCATTCTCCATTGTTGTCTTCAAAGGAGTAGGTCCAGAAAGGCCTTTATTTGGCCCTTAAAATTAGACTTGGTAATATCATATCTAATCAAAGTGCTTGTAAGCACTGAAGGGTAAAGATTGCTTAAATTTATCAGTGGGAAGAAAAATTAATAATTGCATTGTATAAAGTATTGGTTGAAGTTGTCGTTTAGTCAACTACAATTACGGACAGAAGAAGATAACTCCAATTTTAAAGATGACTTTAACAATGACATCATTGATATTTTAAGAACAGATATTAGACTAATGCACCTTGCACAAGTTATGTAATTTTCCTGACAAGTATAACACCATTTTGTAACTTGAATATCTGAGCATATATTTCATTGATAAATTTCTGGAAATATTCATGGATAGGATGTATCAAATGTTATGATCAATGCACTATATTTTGTGCATCTCAAAAGTAGTGATAAAGTTTGAAATATTGATAACTATCAAGCCAGCCACATAACGGGTTTAATTGCATGAATGCAATCTTTACCTAAAAACCAATATTTACAATTGAAAATATACAAATTTAGATAAAACTTATTTTTTATCTGTCTACAATTCATTTTAAACAATGTTAAAAGCTTCTACAGAAAGATATTTTACATTTCTTATGTCATTTTGACATAGTTATTTATAAAATTCATATGTCATTATGACATTGTGTATATAATTCTTATGTCATCATGACAAAGTGTATCTAATTCACATGTCATTACTACAGGATGTATACAATTCTAATGTCATCATGACAAAGTGTATCTAATTCACATGTCATTATTACAGGATGTATATAATTCTTATGTCATCATGACAAAGTGTATCTAATTCACATGTCATTATTACAGGATGTATACAATTCTTATGTCATCATGACAAAGTCTATCTAATTCACATGTCATTATTACAGGATGTATACAATTCTTATGTCATCATGACAAAGTCTATCCAATTCACATGTCATTATTACAGGATGTATACAATTCTTATGTCATCATGACAAAGTCTATCCAATTCACATGTCATTATTACAGGATGTATACAATTCTTATGTCATCATGACAAAGTCTATCTAATTCACATGTCATTATTACAGGATGTATACAATTCTTATGTCATCATGACAAAGTGTATCTAATTCACATGTCATTACTACAGGATGTATACAATTCTTATGTCATCATGACAAAGTCTACTTCTTATGTCATCATGACAAAGTCTATCCAATTCACATGTCATTATTACAGGATGTATACAATTCTTATGTCATCAGACATGTTGTATTCAATTCTTATGGCATTATGACATAGTGTATACAATATTAATTTATAAATCATTATGACATGATGCATACAATATTTATGTCATGGTGTACAAAATTCTTAAGTCATTATGACATGGTGCATACAATTATAATGTTATCATACCATTGTGTATACAATTATAATGTCATTATGACATACTGTATACAATTCCTATGTTATTAAGACATTTTTCCCCCAGCATCAGTTTTCCCTCTTAAATAAATCAATTAACAGTATGTAACTTACACCGTGTGGGAAAAACCTGCTGAATCTAAGACTCTTCAAGATTTTGGCGATGAAGAATGTTCCGAGGAACAGAAGTATAGACAAGAAAAAGACGTCTGGAACATGATCAACAAAACCATGACAACCTTCAAATTTGACCACGCCTCCCATCTCAAGACAATATGTACAATTCATCAGATGCCACTGGTCCTCCGTTGCAATTATGAAAGAATTATTAGCTATTGTCACATTCAAAGGACTTGATGCATTTATGAAAGAACTATTAGCTATTGTCACATTCATAGGACTTGATGCATTTGTATTTAAAGCTGAGGTATTACTAGGTTGATCACAGCAACACTCGTAATACGGATTTTCCTTCGTTCCCAACTTTACAGGATGAGAATGGCTGATTGAGATCAATTTAGCAATGGCTTCTTTTATGAAGATAAGCGCTATCAATAGTGCAAAACTTTCTTCAGTAAAACGGGTGATATACCGCACCAAAGCACTTAAGTCAAACACCACCATGATCATCAGGCAGATAAAAGTCCACATTCCAACCCACAGGCGAACTTCTAAGTAATCCCATTTTTGGCCACTGAAAATAAATATAAAGAAATTAATAATCAATGGCTGTATCCTGAACTTTTATTTCTTGCAAATAAATTCATCTGGTTCATCCTATTTCTGATCATCATAATTTGACTGAAAGTTGATTTACTTGGTGGGTGATACATGCATAGGAAGAGAGGCTTACTGTAAATTCAGACATTTTTGTATGCATTTAAAGTCATATGAAACGACTTTCTTGTATTTTTAATGTTATCAAAATTATTGAACCAATGCATGCATATATACTAAACTAAGTCCTGTATGCAAGTTTTATATATTTTGTACGAATCTATAATGTATAAATGACAAGCAATATTTCATTCAGTGGTTGTTGATAGCAAGTTAATTAACTTTCAAGTTTCGAAGTTTATAAAATCCTGACATTGCTAAACAATCAACACAGAGCATATGAAGCATGTGATAACTAAGTGAATTGATAGAGCCATGTTATTTTTTTTTTCAATTTTCCACGCTTTCCCATTTGTTAATTAAACTTTTTCTTTCCAGTTGTTAAATGTTGTATTTAATTTGTTCCTTATATTACTATTTACCTTCCAGTGCACGTTTGTTTAATTTTTTCATCACTGTTTTCCCCTCGCACTTGCGCTGTGCGGTGACCAAAGTTCTAATGAGAGTGTCTCAGTTAGACTTAGTTAAGGTAATTGCATACGGGAAAATATCGGGGAATTAGTTTACGGGAAGACAATAATTCAATAGCAGTACATTTATAAACATTTTGATAATATAAAGGCTTTTCTTTTACAAGAAAGTTCACGTACACTAATGTTTTATAGTAAAACTTAGCCATTCAAGTATATAAAACATATTCAACTTTTTTTTAAAATTTGAAGTTTCACATGACTTTAATATTGCGATTTTTTAAGAATGGATAAAAATGTTCAGATTAGTTATTGCGATATAAGGAAAGTCTACATACAGAGATATGTATCAGATACATGTATCAGAATGCGAGTTCTTATTATTGCGATAACTCACCTAGTTGCAATATTCTCAATAATTAAAACCTCACAATAATTTCTGAAATTACAGAAGCTTTTCTTAATGCACTAGGACTGACTAGGTCCCTCTCCTTTTAGAGTTCTTGCAATTCCTTCAGTTTATTTTTTGTGACCTTGATTTGCTTTCTTAATTCTTTAAGTGATTTTTTTTATAATCACAATAATTAATCTCAGATTTTTATCCATTCTTCATAAATCGCAATACTAAAGTCAAATGAAACTATCAATTTTTCTTTATTAGTAAAGATATGATGGTGATGGATTTGTATGAACTATCTCACAACTCTTTCACATAATGATTTATTAATAATAGGGCTGCACTGAGCCCAGCATGGTACCATTTCAATATGTTTACACAGGAATATTGTAAAAGTGTTTATAAAAGGTTGAAAAATCAGTAAATTGAAACTTGTTTGGTCAAAAACTCTTTTCTACATATCATTGGCAGACAATGTTCTAACATGTATGTCTTGGTAGCTGTAACAAAAGTTTCAATAAATGGGGAATGTGTCCATGGGACACAGATGATGCCCCAGCTTGCGTATCATATAAAGTTATAAAGGGAGATAACTGAAGAACGGTAAAAGTGATGCTACCCAAATTTGTTATTGATCTGAGTTTTGTAGTAATAAGTATTGTGTATAAGTTTCAATACATTTGGTTGAGGCAAACTTAAGTTAGAGAACAGAAACAAAAAATTCTGCAATTTTTTCCTTTTTTAAAGGGGCATAACTCTAGAACAGTAAAAGTGACGCTACCTAAATTCAAACTTGATCTGTATTTTGTGGTAATAAGCATTGTGTATAAATTTCAAAACATTTAGTTGAGGCAAACTAAAGTTACAGAACGGAAACGAAAAATTCAGCAATTTTTCCATTTGTAAAGGGGCATAACTCTAGAACGGTTAAAGTGATGCCACCAAAATTCACACTTGATCTGTATTTTGTGGTAATTAGCATTGTGTTTCAGTTTCATAACATTTGGTTGAGACAAACTAAAGTTAGAGAACAGAAACCAACTTTGGGACGTACGGATGGACAAGGGTAAAACTTAATGCCCCCTCCGCTATGGCAGGGGCATAAAAATGTGATTGTTTTGAATATCAGTTATAACAACAGCATTAAATGGAGAATGTGTTCCAGGGACACAGATGATGCCCCTGCTTGCATAACTAAAAAACAGTAAAAGTGATGCCACCCAAAAACTTGATCTGAGTTTGTGGTAATAAGCATTGTGTATAAAAATAAATAATTAAATAATATTTGACATCAACAATTGATCAGACGTCGTTTTGGTAATACATGACACCACACTGGACGTCGATTAGAGGGTAAAAATTTTGGACACTGATTTGGGAACGTGACGTCACATTGGACATCAATTTGAGGAACCGACGTCGATAAGAGACCAGACGTCGAATTGAGTGTTACAAATATATGGAAAATTCATCAATTTTTGCATTTACCAAGGAACATAACTCGAGAACTGTGAAAGTGATGCCACCCAAATTTGAAATGGATCTGTGTCTGGTGGTAATAAGTATTGTAAATAAGTTTCATAATATTTGGTTGAGGCAAAGTAAATTTAGAGTGCGGAAACTGACACCACCCTTATTCAAACTTGATCTGTGAATTGTGGTAATATGCTTTGCCTATAAGTTTCATAACATTTGGCTGAGGCAAACTTAAGTGAGAGAACAGTAACCAATTTCAGAACGTACAGACAGGCTATGTACATTCAAACATACATACACTCTTTGGTAAAACTTAATGCCCAAGGAGCCTGCAGGTGGGGCTTTAAAATAAATCCATACTGGGATTGATTGATTGATTGTTGGTTGCTTAACGTCCAGTGGCAAATATTTCATGCATATTCAGGACGAGAACAAGTTCACAATAAATACAATAGGTAGGTTCTGTAATAGATTAAGGGATTAAGGTCGGAGAAATTTTGACTGCCACGGGAAATGAGGGTATATTGGATAGGGACAGAAATTTAGCCTTGCAACAGGTCACCTACGGACCCCTCAAAGAGTTGTTGCAAGGGTTCTTAACGTGCAAAAAGCGTGGCACTCTCTTTACACGAGGCATCGGATTTAACGTCCCCATTCTGACCGGACGTGGCTGCAAATTTGTACATCCCGCACAGCCAAACGGACGCCCCACTTTAGCACGGGTTTTACTGCCGGTCGGAGGAAGACCAATGGTGACCATACTTCTATTCCCCAGTCACCCTTGGGGGTTCCATACTGGGAATTTGGATAACAAATTTTTATTTCTTTATGATAGATTTTGCTGAAAATTATTCAGTAATATGAACTCAACTCAGCCCAAATTCAATATCAAAGAACCCCTACATTCATTTTTTGTTAAAATCAAACAAAGTTTAATTTTGGACCCCGATTTGGACCAACTTGAAAACTCAGCCCAAAATCAAATATCTAAATACATGTTTAGATTCAGCATATCAAAGAACCCCTTGAATTCAATTTTTGTTAATATCAAACTAAGTTTATTTTGAACCCTTTAGACCTCAATGTGGACCAATTTAAAAGCAGGGTCCAAAATCCAAAATTCAAATACATAGTTAGATTCAGCATATTAAAGAACCTCAAGAATTCATGACTTTGAATTAAACTACATTGAAATTGGTCAAGAAATAAGCAATTGGTACACAGTATTAGAAAAGCATTGTTTTTGGACCCTTTTTCCCAAACAGTCAGGGCCATAACCCACAAAACCAATCCCAATTTTCCTTTATGATAGGCAACCTTGTGGTACAATTTCATAGAGATCTATAGACTTATACTCAAGTTATTGTCTGGAAACCAGAAAATCCTAGTTTTTTGGCCTATAATGCCATAACCCACAAAGTCAATCCCAACCTTCCTTTTGAGGTATGGAACCTTGTGGTTCAATTTCATAGAGATCCATACACTTATTCACAAGTTATTGTCCTGAAACAATAAAAATGCTTGTTTTTGGCTCCTTCTGGGTCCCTAATTCCTAAACAGCTAGGATAATAACCCCCAAAATCAATCCCAACCTTCCTTTTGTGGCATGGAACCTTGTGGTACAATTTCATAGAGATCCATATACTTATACTCAAGTTATTGTCTGGAATCCAAATGTCTTCAGACGACAACCATGTCGCTGATGACGCTGCTGACAACGCCATTACATTATACGACCGCATATAAAAAATGTCATATGGACTAATCAAGACAAACTCATAGTGTTGCTTTTCCAATATATATATATGCATGTACATGTATAACAAACTGAAAAATTAACAGAGTTCACTCTAACAAAACAAAAGTACTTACTCGCAAATATCATATAATATTGTTTCGAACACTAAAACTGGCCCGGTACTACCTAGGATGGTCAATGGCTGTCCGGAGCATAATGCATAAATAACACCAACTATACAACCAGCTAACAAACTCTCAAACGCAGCCTGAAAGAAAATATTACTGCTTTGAATAAGGATTGTGGAGATAGAACATAGCCTGTATTTCAGTGGTTGTTCTTTATTGCTCATCTTGCTGTTCATCACATTTGTTTTTCATACATTGTTTTGTACATAAATCAGGCCATTAGTTTTCTCATTTCAATTGTTTAACATTTATCATTTCAGGGTCTTTTATAGCTTTCTAACAGTATGGGTTTTGTACATTATTTAAGGCTATACAGTAACCTTTTGTTTTTAACTTCTATGCCATTTGGTCTCTGGTGGAGAGTTGTCTCATTGGCAATTTTACCACATCTCCTTATTCTTGTATAGAAATAACATTTTATCTATAATGAACAATTGCCTACAGACACGGTAAGTCATAACAAATTCTGACAAGTTATTCACATGAATATTAAATTATCTAATAAAATTGAGAATGGAAACAGGGAATGTGTAAAAGAGACAACAACCCTGACCAAAGAGCAGAAAACAGCCGAAAGCCACCAATGGGTCTTCAACACAACTAGAAAATCCTGCACCCGGAGACGGCTTCAGCTGGCCCCTTAAAAAATGTACACTAGTTCAGCGAAAATGGACACCACACTAAACTCCAAAACAAATAAATGAACCAATATTAAACAAACATATAAGACTCACAAAGGCCAGTACACTGGTAGGCTATAATATTAGAGAAAGGCATAGAGGAGTTTGTCCGATATACTTATAAATTACCCCCCTTTCTTGAGCAGCAGAGATCATATTACTTTTTAAGTGGGGTTTGTGTTGCTCAGTTTTCTGTTTTGTTGTCTATTGTCTTTTCATCTCTTTTTCCTGACTACAGCATTGGATTTTATTATAAATATGGTATGAGACCACCAATCAAGGACCATAACTCTTTAGCAGCAAAAGCCAAAATTGTCAATATAAAACTTAACCCTGATGTTGTCATGAAAAACAATGTTAAAATTTGGAAAGGATTGTTAAATTGGTTATCAACATACCAGCAAAAATGGTTTGGATCCACTCACAAGCATGCTGTGCACCCCAAATTTATAACTGGATTTTTACTTTGGTAAACCTCTAAAAAAATGGGGAATGTGTCCATGGCACACAGATGATGCCCCCGCTTTCATATAACGTTATAAAGAAACATAATTCAAAACAGCAAAAGTAACGCTACCCAAATTTGTATTTGATCAGAGTTTTGTGGTAATAAGCATTGAGTATAAGTTTCATAACATTTGGTTGAGGCAAGCTTAAGTTAGAGAACGGAAACGAAAAATTCAGCAATTTTTCTATTTGTAAAGGGGCATAACTCTAGAACGGTATAAGTGATGCCACCAAAATTCGAACTTGATCTGTGTTTTGTGGTAATAAGCATTGTGTATAAGATTCATAACATTTGGTTGAGGCAAACTAAAGTTAGAGAACAGAAACCAATTTTGGGGACATACACAACGGAGGGATGGGACGGACAAGGGTAACACATAATACCCCCTTTGCCTAGTGGCGGGGGCATAAAAATACAACAGGAAGTGTCAACTTACCATGTTATTGCCAGTTGCATCTCCCAAAAGTCCACCAAAAGTAATGATAGGTGTTAAACAAGCAAAGTATAAAAATATAAATGATGCAACACATTGAACATGGAGTGCATCTTTGAAGTCACTGATATAAAATGGAGCTTTTCTTTTGATGTCGGCAATTAGTCCACCAAATAATCTATAAAATTCAGAAAAAATCCAATCATTTTTTATTAGCAACTTTAGGACATTTCTTACATGAATACATACAATTTTCAAGTGTATTACAAATATGATTTCAAAAAGGGGAGGGGGGTGGGAAGACACATTCTGTGCACCCTACCATGTTTAAACTTCAAACCAAGAATATTTCACAACACATCACATTTATATTAAACTTCTTTCTGACAACATTTTCTGGTCATTTCTGCAATGTCCTCTTAGGACTGTTCCATAAAAACATACATGTGGTTGCCCTTTGATGCATTCCTTGTTTCCATTTTCAATTGTATGTGACAGAGGGAAATCACTTTGAAATCTCAATTATGGGTGGGTGTCATGTATAGTGAATAAATAAGTAAATTAAAAAATAAAGCCTATTAGTAGTTTACCTATTTTTAATGTGCGTTCCTTAATTACCATGTATGTTTTAATGGAACAGCCCTTAAGGATGTACTTAGGTCAGGTTTAGGAATTTTTGTCAGATGTTCAGACTCCTATTTTTTTTCCCTACGATATAGGGTAAAACATTTTGCCCCATAACACCCATTTTTCTTTTCATATAAGACTTCATTAGCTCATAGAAGGTCATTTACCAAAATTTAAGCAGATTCTAGATTTCTTTTCTTTAGACATGAGACCCTAATAATACCAATGCAAATAGAGTCAGAGTCAGCCTTTTCCCTCCATTTAAAAAAAAATTAAATATCTCGAAAAGGAGCTCCACAACCTTCAATATTTTTAGCTTATTTTGCTCCTTAACTAATGCTATTCTGACTTATACAATGTAGTATCAATTTCAAATTCTAGATTTTTTTTAATTTCACCCATTAAAGTACATCCTTAAATAAAACATTCCTTTTAATATCTTACTTATAATTCTGAGGGTAAGCTTTTTATATCTTAATTTGATTCTTTAACCACTATTAAAAGTAAGAACTAACTATTAATACATTTAATACTGTAAATAATTCAGAAAAAGACAATAAGATGGACAGCAACATTAGTAATTAATTCAAAGTTGCTGGACCATGACATAGAGGGCAGCATGTCAAAATGATCGTCAAACTGAGATATGTACTGATAGTAATGAAACTTTATAGGATATATCATTGTCTATCATAAGCAATTCCTACCAAACTAACTAAAGCAAAACTTAACATTGAAAATTAACAAATAATTAAAAGTCGCTGTATAGCCTTGAAATAATTGTCAAACTGATATGTACTGATAGTAATGCAACTTTATAGAAAATATCCTTGATCTATGAAAAGTAGTTCCTATCAAACTAACTTAGCAATTGTTGACATGGCCGCCGGAAAAGAAACATCTTGGTCTTCTATGACTTTCATCGCAGGTGAGACAAAAAACAGGTTGTGCACAGAAAAACAACCAACAAGAAGAAAGGATTGCAATGTACAAATTAGCTTATTAGACCAGATACTGAATACTGAAAGACGTATAAACTTGTACCTTCCAGTTCTTTGTAAAGTCTCAGCTTGATTTTCTCCTCCTTCAACTTGATCCTCTGGTATAGGTTTACCATTTGGTAGGTTGGAACCAGTAGGCTGTCTACGAGAATCCTGAAAATTAATCAAATTTTATCAATACTTAATTCATTTCATTTTTTGTTTTCAATTTATTTCATGATGGTTTGTTCTGATCTGGTGTAGAATCAGGAAAAGACAACAAGTTAAGTTATAAACTGTTGCCAATCTATACACATGTTCATAGAACTTTTTTGTTATCAGTTCATAGACATGTATACCTTTGTTTGACAGGGGCCTCAGTGACCAAGTGGTTTAAGTAGTTCATCTTCTGTATCACTAACATGTCAACACTGAGGTTGTGTAGGGGCCTCAGTGACCGAGTGGTCTAAGTAGTTTATCTTTTGTATCACTAACCTGTCAACACTGAGGTTGTGAGTTCCAACCCCACACTTGTCAGGTGAATTCAACTTCAATAAATTGATTATGATTGCTAGTTTTCCTACCGAAAGGTAGTGGTTCCCTCTAGGCACTCCGCCTTCCTCCATCAATAATATACAGCTGTGCCAAGATTGCATGATATGCCCTTATTGTGCATATTGAAATTATTGCAAGAATAAAATGGGATATTTTGAAGGCATTTAATCATAAGCAAATAAAATCACTTTGTAGAAAAAGTTTCCTGAGAATACTGTTTTTTAAATCGAACAGTTTGTTATGTTCACTAATCCAAACAATTATGTCAAGTTTCCACTAAATCATTTAAGCAAACTCAAGTTATGATACAATATGTGAAATATTTACTAGAATCTTACAATTAAAGTTTCATTACTTACTGTGAAGTGACAAACCAAAAAAAAAACCAAAACGGAACTTCCTTTCTTCAATCCCGACAGTAATGTAAAGTTTTGAGCAAATCTATCCAGGAATACTGGAGTTAGTATGGCTTTGTGAAAAAATGCTTTAAATGGAACAGTTAAAAATCTTTAACTCAGGAATGATAAACTGGAAAATTGAAAAAATCACAGATTTACCAACTATCCCGATTTATGGGGGATATCCCGCATTAGAGGTGTTGACCAGAATTTTGAAATTCTTTATTATATAAACTGAACACCTCAAAACAGGCATACAAATGAGTTAATAGGGTATTTCAGCGCAAATATATACTCATCCAAACAATATAGAAGTAGATTAAAAACACTTATGACTATGTAAGAGATGAGCATTAGGTCCTCTTGCACTTAAAATTAGTTTGCAGGTATGAAATCAGAAGAAGCTTCCTTTCAGCAATCCCTACAATTATGTTATGTTTGGGAGAAATCAATTCAGGAATACTGGAGTCAATGTGCGATTTGTGAAAAAATGCCTTACATCTAAAGGTCAAAGCTCTATAACTTTGGAATGACAAGGCCAAAAATAAAAAAATAGAAAAAGGGAGCTTTCTTCCATCAATTCTAACGCTGTGTTATAAAGTATATGAGAATTGGTTAAAGCAAATTTGAGTTATCTTATGAAGTGTTGACAGATGGACATCTGTATACCATAATATGACCGGTCTTTGACAGGCGTATAAAAATTGACCGTAAAAATATAGACAAAAGTGCTAAAAGTTGTGTAAAAACACTTAAATTCGATCAATCAATCTTTGTTTTACAAATGCCATTTTGTTACATCTTTAGTTGCATTGATAAAATGTGTAACAACATTATTATTCTTGGGGTAATTTTACCATATACCATACATACAATAATTTCATGGATTTCTTTGGTTTAGGTTAACCACAAAATTAAATGTTCCACAAATTTTCTACAGGCATGTATACAAAGTTTTGTTAAACTAAGAAAATCCATTATCCACAAAAATACAATTTTCATCAATCCATGAAAACTGGTATCTATGAACAAAAAAAAATTGACAATACATTGAAATGAACTTGTTTTTGAACTAAATTACATGATTATAAATCTTTTACCTGTGATGGAACACTTTTTGGTGGTTCTATTCTGATTGTAGGATCCCATTCACCAGGTGGCAGCACTGTAACCTGATCCAGAAACTCATCAATTCCTGTCAGCAAATCCTCTCTGTTGTGAGCATGGTAAGCTACATCACGGAAAACCTATTTAAAGGTCAAATGAATTTAAATATAATAGTTTGTCATTTTTTTAGATTTTCTTTTGGGTACCCCAACTTCTGAAGCAGTGCAGCTACTTCGTGTAAAATTTCCACAAAAATGTGTGGTTAACTATTACAAAACAAACCATGACATTACGTTTTCAAACAGGATCTAGTTAGAACATCTAAGAAGAAAGTTTTCATAAATGTTTTTGTCAGAAATCTGGCACAATTAAGGATAATGTACCTCTTTGTTGTTTTATAAAAAAATCCATAGGCTTTCCCCTTGTACTCCTATATTTGACAAGTTAGTGCTTTAAATAGACAGACGATTATTGCATGCAGTGCTAGCAATGATTTCCATCAAATAAACTGCTGACACAGAGATATGTCTTGCCTGTCCGCATAAAATTCAGAAAAACAAAATCTGATGGACAGCAACATTGCTTATTACTTTAAAGTCGCTGGACCATGATCTTATGGGCAGGGACTAGAAATGGTCGACAAACTGAGATGTACTGATAGTAATGCAACTTTATACAAAATTTCATTGATCTGTCACAAGTATTTCTTATGAAACTGACTTAAGCAGAAAACTTAACATTGAAAATTGCTAATTATTTCAAAGTCACTGGACCATGACCTAGGGGGCAAGGTCACAAAATAATCGTCAAACAGATATGTACTGATAGTAATGCAACTTCATACAAAATATCATTGATCTATCACAAGTAGATCCTATCAAACTAACTCAAGCAGAAAACTTAACACTGAAAATTGCTTATTAATTCAAAGTCACTGGACCATGTCCTAGGTGTCAGGACCTCAAAATAGTCATCAAACTGATATGTACTGATAGTAATGCAACTTCCTACTAAATGTCAATGATCTATCACAAGTAGATCCTATCAAACTAACTTAAGCAGAAAACTTAACATTGAAAATTACTAGTTAATTCAAAGTTTCTGGACCATGACCCAGGGGGCAGGGCCTCGAAATAGTCGTCCAACTGATATGTACTGATAGTAATGCAACTTTTTATAAAACACCAATGACCTATCACAAGTAGTTCCTATCAAAATAACTTAAGCAGAAAACTTTACAATTGTTAACGCCACTGCCGCAGCCAGAAAAGCAATCCCTATGTCTGCTTTCGTCGCAGATGAGACAAAAAGTATATAAATAAAGATAATGAGATGAGACAAAAAGTATATAAATAAAGATAATGATTAGAACAAGGATAAACATGGATTTATTCAAGTACACCTTCTAGAGTGCTCTCAACTTTAGTCACTCAGCACGAGGTTTTTAAATTGTAAAGTTTGTTTCGGACTTTTTGTAGACAATAAACGCTAGAGCATCATGGAGAAACAAGTGAGTAATCTTTGTCTACAAATTTATAACGAAAATCTCTGTAATAAGGTCTGTTGGTTTTTTGCAAAAATCTTGGCTTTATTTGCCACCAAATAACCATTTTCTATTAAATGTAAAGAACAATAAACAGTATTGCATTTCTCTTTGATATATGTACAAAATAGCATGTTATTTTTATTCTGTATTTGTACTGATTTGATATTGTAGCACTTTGAAAATTTAGTACCGTTAAATTCGTTAAATAAGCCGCAGGTTTTTTTCTCTGTCATTGTCCCTGCGTGTTATACTCAGGTGCGCTTTGTGTATGTATTTTTTTCAGTTTCAGGGCAAGCGTGAAAAAAAAATATGTATCTGGATTTTTTTTTATGGAGACCGTCAGATTGTCAAGTGCTTGCAGTGACTTGATAAATTGTTCATGTGGCATATTTTGTTATGAATAAAAATATATATACTTTATCATTTGTTCTTTATTTCATTGTTGGCTTACGAAGTTGATAACCATGTGTTTATTACATAAACAAAGAAAGATAACCGTGTTTGAAAGAGGTACCATACAGGATATTAATTGTGTATTTACAATAAATATGTAATTGTTTGTTGTTGTAATGTGTTTTTAAATAAAATCTTCTTTAGAAATAATAAAGGTAGTGATTGTGTTTCTTTCCAATATTTCAAGTCTCTTTTAATGACGATGGTGATAACCATGTACTGAAATGAACCCTTTAAAGTGTTTCATAAACAAAGAAAGATAAGCGTGTTTGAAAAGAGGTACCATACAGGATATACTATTGAGGAGTAACTGCTTATTGTTTTATTGTTTCAAAATGAAATATCTTTATGAAATATTGTAGTCACATATTGGTGTAAGAAATAAAAAAAATGAATATTAATTTTCATAATTCAATATGCTAAGACATTTATATATTGCCGTCTTATTTGAATTCCCCTTTCCGTGGCCCATCTCACTTTCAGTTAAAAATAGACAATGACTTGCAGAAACTGAATGGTTTTGTTGTAGTTTTCAACCAAGTTTAAATTGAAAAATGTTTGTTACTTAAAAAACTTAAACTTTTATTTTATAAACAACAATAAAATTCTTTAGATTTAATTTAATAATTTGTTTTCCTGACTTATGGGTGAACAGTTTTCACACGTGGGTACAGGTAATTAAGTAGGTCATAATCAAGGTAAACAACGGCAGTTTTATGGCTTGGGTAACTTTTAATGAATACCTTTTCAAGATTAAATAAAATCCTTGATTCCAATTCAAACAATAAATGAGCAATCAACACCGAACTAATTTTAATCAAAACAACAAGGTTCAATGGACACCCAAGCTGTCAACACATGGCCATTGTTGACAAAAAACAACTAATGAATCTGGCATGATTAAAACAATAAGAAAATTATAATAATTTTATTAACATTTATTTATTTTAATATGAAACAAATAAATATATACAATATGTCTTTCAACTTTCTCAACAATCTGAAAATAAAAATGAAACATGTTACGGAGTGAGTTACAAGAAGGAGTGAACATTCATTACGCTAAGGTCAGTAGAATGCATGTACGTTTTCTTCAGGGTGCGCTTTATATGCAGGTGCGTTTTATGTAAGGAAAAAAACAATCCTCACCCCCAAAAACGGCCGTGCGCCTTATTTAGGGGTGCGCTTTTTAATCCGGAAAATACGGTAATACACAGGCCTACAGAAGGGGTCATAAACTTAAGGGGTGGTAATATTCTGGTTCCCTGCCTTGTCATTGTAGGTAACAGTAGTCTGGTTCCCTACCTTGTCATTGCAGTGGTGGCTTTTTTTCTCTAGCTACGCTTTCTGTCTGATGCTTGTTAAACGTGTGCACAGGTAGGCCAATAGTTGAACTAAACCTTTTGACATTGGATACAGTTTGTAATCATACTCACTCATAAACAAAATTATTAAGGGTTCTGCAGAACTTTTGTTACTTACCTCGTCAGAGAAGAGAGTGGCAATAGATCTGCCTATTTCATGGTAATGAGTTGAATTGCCCATAGGACCAAGTAATACAAATAGAAACTTTGTAGGAACTGGTACTTCTGTTAAATCAGCCATCACAGGCTTCAACAATCGTATAAACGCCACAATTTGGTGATTGGTTAGAAAGTCAACTTCTCCAACAAGGATGTTGGCTGCCTCTGCACCTGGCGGAATTTTCTTCATGAAGTGTAGATTTAACTGAAAATATAAATTTGAAAAATATACTTGTTTTCTTATCTTATGGAAGTCTTTTTCTCCTGGAAAAATGGGTAAATGTACTAGTATCAATGAAGGAGACTTTTATGCTTTTGGCCAAGGTCACTCTGGATTTGCCTTCAATAAAACTGCCATCATGTAAATTTGCAGAGAGTGGTGTAAACACTTTTTCACGCAGACAATTTAAAGGGTATAAAATTAGAAAATTAAAAAAAAAAATTTATAAATAAATTCTTCCATCTAGTTCTTGCCAGACACTTGGTTAAATAGTATGTTCAAATATTGTGGAAAAAGGTGTGTATGTACACTGTCTAACCCATAAGACTAGATGAGACAGGAATATCTCAGTACATTAGGAGTTATTGTGCAATAAGTAAACAAACTACAGGGTGAGAAATATGTGTCTGTGTATACCAGATAAAATAAGCATAACACGTATAATCTGACAACAACACAGCCAGAAAGCTTCTACTGTTTATAAATAGATCAAATATTTTACAAAATAAAATAGATTTGACCCAATTAAATAATTTCCATGATGAATCTTTTGCATTCATATTTTATTTTTATTTCATCTAACCTTAGAGTGGGAGTTAAAAATGCAGAAGATTTCCTCTGGATAAATATAAATACTAATTAAATTATTTGTTCACATTTCTTCTTCCAGTAAGCACTCTTCTAAATTTGTGAATAATCTTGTACATGGTGCTCTACTAGGAAGCATGGGACCTCGGTGGATGATGATGATGGGAGTTTTTAACGACCTTGACTGGCTATACAGCTATGGTCGGCTCAGGCCTGGAGGCGATTGTTGAGCATTAAATATTTTCTGTTGCAGTTGGTCAGGAACAGGTGGAAGGCGCCATATTGGTAGGCTGCCATCTTGGTTTACGTGAGTTGTTATGGTTTTGGTTTTTGACTATTTTGATGTTTCTTTGAATTATGGACCCCACGGATGCTTTCAGGGCCAGGTTGATCAGTTGGGCAGCCCACTAACCATGACGATGTGTTACTGGAAGATGAATCATTGACTCCTTAGTAGATGACTGCAAATTTCACTAAAACAACGATATAGCTAGCCCTCGGACGTCTGGGCAGCATATGACACTCACCAATCCACAATAGGTTTCAGAGTGTCGCTGACACGGGTTTTCTGTACGGGAGCCTCATAAACTAGTTTGTCGTTGAACCATCTGAGCAGTGTAACATGTTGTAGCTAATGGATAATCAGGAGCTGACCCAGCACAGCCTTTCAGCTGTAAGGACTGAGACGTGACTGTTTGATTGGAATGGCCTCGTAGGACAAGTGGTCAGTCTAAGTAGTTCATATAGATTGACCATTAGCTTGTCAACAACACTCCAGGTGTGGTATTTTCAAATCTGATCTTAATTAACAACCAGCCACCATGATATTGCGAAGGTCGCTGAAAGTGAGGTAAAATACTAACTAACAAAGAAACAAACAGGATTGTTCAAATTAAAAGAAAATTTATAACTTTGGATCTAGATGGTATTTTCCTAAAAATGTGCAAGGACTAAGTCTAATTCACACTACTTATCACTACGTATCCATTTAGTTTCCACAAGTTTCATTTAAAATAATTAAAACAAAATTTTTCAAATGGACCAATTGAATGTCATTTAATCTCATAGCAGTCCCAAAAGGCTTATATGCCACATACACTGGGATATGAAACAGATGGTTTTGAACAAACTTTTCCTTTTTTAAGCATTATTTTAATAGGGCTTTATCCCCACTAATTCATTCCTCTCTTGCAAACAACAGGTTGCAAGCTTAAGTCTTTACAATCATGAGGATGTATAAATTCAACTTCTGTAAATTTTCAATTTATTTCTGCATGTAGAAATTTGTACATTAAAAGAAATAAAACACAAAGTAGACCAAGACTCCTTCTTATCGCAAAATCAAATAACATCAAAAACCTATTAATGTATTATATCATCAATATTTAGGAGCTATTGATTTATTAATGGGGAAATAAGATCCAATTAAGTTACTTTAAGATGTAAAGGATTATTGACAGACACGATTTCTATGTGAGAAAATATTTACTCAATATTAGAAGGATTGACTGATTGAAGTTTAGCACCACTTCCTGTACTAAATATAAAGATATCAATCATAATTTACTTTATAAGGAAATTGGTATTAATCTTTTTTTTTCTCTCTCTCAGATAGCTGTATGATTTATTGAAATTGCACATAACAGTAAACCATCTTTCATCATGAAGTTAAGAAAAGGGAGATAACCCATAAAACAGACTGATCATGTCATTAAATATCCTATTCTAAAATATTCTAATTTCATTTTGTGTTTGAATGGTAATGGGAATAAGAATGGTTAGCATATTCATATGATTCTGAAATAGCAATCTGCAATCACCAAATTCTCTCCAGGGTTGCGGATGGATCTTTGTAAAAGTGAAGAGTGGGTTTCAACACAGATGTAGTCATAAGGGAAAATTGATCCACTCTGATTTTTTTGTCAATTTTAAGGTAACTGTATTTTAAATCTTCCACCGTAGCACTCTGTCAGAAAATTTACAGAAGATTTTCCATAGGCAGATAAGTTAAGGGGGCTTAAAGACAAAATTGTTAGGTCCTGAAAACTGTTGCCAGGTTTTAGTCCAACCTGCCACTTTTTCTGGAATTGATGTTTGACTTATCTAACAATCTGGATGAAATACTGATCATGTGTCCACACTTTTTTTTACAATTACAAGGATCTGGAAACAATGTTTTATTTTCTGTTTAAAAAGACCCTTCAGACTCTGGTTTTGTCCTAATGATCCACATATTCAACAATTTGAAGGCAGAAATTTCATTGGCTGATGTAATAATTACCAGAACAGAAAGTAGAAGCGAGGTTGTCAGATCATTGTAGAAAAGTGTGGACACAGGATTTGTGTTTTAATAAGACTACTTTTCTATATTACCCATTTCTAATGCAATTACATTATAATTTAAAAAAAAAAGTATTTTCATAGTTTTAAATGTCATTGTTTATGACTTGACTTTTATTTATCATGTTTGCACATGTTGCTCAAAATGTGAGATCTTGTTATAGGTTAAATATTAGGACACTACATATCCAATGATCTATTTGAGTGTGTACAAAGAGCAGTTAGAAGTGTTTGTATCTTAGGTGGACCATAAAATTGAAAGAGTAACACTAGTTATTATAACAGCCAATTAAACATGAAACATCTCGAACACAAAAAATAGCTTAGCTGTGAGATCTGAAAACAAAATATTAAAATCAAACTTGACTGTAACACAAACACAGCGATTAAAATATTTTCTAGACACAAGGGTTGGAGGATTGGGAGACATGTGTGATACAAACATCACTGGTAATTTATTTTAAAATTTAAATGTCGCTATATTGTACAAATGGTTTTGTGTTCTGATTAAAGTAGCAGAAAATTACTTTAATAATTGTGAACTGATAATGCACGTTGACTCATATATATCTATATTTAAGGGAGTGACAAAAACTGTTACAGATTATGGCTAAAGTAAAAATTTAAATTGACTAAAAATTTGTAAAACTCATAAATAAAAGAAATAATGTTATAATAGAATTATCAATTTTAAAGTAACCAGAACTGTTATAAAAAATTGATGTACTTCCTTATCATGAGAAGAAAAAGATGAGGAAGACAGGTTATCAAATTAACAAATTCATACAACTGACTTAATATGTCAGAAATCTAAAGGTGTCTGTTTCAAACCACTTAACAGGAAATTTTTCAGAAACAGAGAATATAAGCACATATCTTTAACAATATTACAAATTTGACTATTCCCTATTATCAGCCCACAATAATATCAAGATAATTTGCTGCTCCTTATCAAAATATCCTGACATATCCATCAATACAACTTGTCCAATATCTGGTTCAGATGAAAGAGTTTGATTGAATCAGTTATAAAACGCTGACCATTGATTATTAGATTCAGCCTTTTCTAATTAATCATATCTTCAACTAAATCTTTATCTGTAATCTAAATGAAAATTTCAGATTTGATTTTATCTTGACTAAATGAAAATAACATTATTAATTTTGTGTGTCTGAAATGCTTCTCTGGATTTACCTTCATAAGAAACACTCAAACCCCAACATTTGACAGTGCGAGGGCTTTATAGCCAGTCAAGGTCATTAAAAAACCCCATTTATGTAAGTAACATTTGAAAGCCAAGGGTTTTTAACACCTAAACACATTAGAGCTATATGACCAAAAGGGACCTAAAAAGTAGCTAAATTCATCCAAGGTCAACTTAAACTTCAAATTGTAAATAATTTTTTTTACTTATTTCAGCCATTTGGTATGTACAATATAAATATTATCCTGGGGTAGGTTTCCGAGAAAGGGGTTGCTCAGACTATTATACATGTCAACATAGTTTTTTTTTCCAGGTCTTTTTTCATAGAATGTTTCACATGTTACCTTCTGGTATTTGATGTGATTTGAAAAAAAAACAATACATTTAAAATGTTTCAGTAATTCTGTTTTTTTGTGTTTTCTTGTGTCCACATGGTCATTAAGTCCTGCTCTTTACAGCCAGATAGTTGGATTTGGTCATGTCCAAATAAGAAATTAGAAGTTTTAGCAATGGTGAAGGTAAATGGTTTTAGATTTTAACACAAGAGTGCACACGCTGAAATGTCTCGCCTTCTTTACTAATCATTGATATTATGTTGATAGTCCTAAATATAAAGCTTTATTACAACTGTCACATAAACTTAACATTAACCAAGTAAACTAAACATTGACCAATGAACCATGAAAATGAGGTCAAGGTCAGATGAACCATGCTAGGCAGGCATGTACAGCTAACAATTCTTCCATACAACAAATATAGTTGACCTATTGCTTATAGTTTAAGAAAAACAGACGAAAACACAAAAACTTAACACTGAGCAATGAACCTTGAAAATGAGGTCAAGGTCAAATA